GTAGAAGCGCCAGTTGGTGTGCTTCCAAAATCGAGAAGGACAAGTCCGACATGTCCATGAAAACATGAAAAACTGTTGAGCAACAGAATACTTTTGCATTGAATTTCACACATTTTTTGCTGATGGTTCAAAAAAAGGGAAAAATTACCCCTTTTCCGAATCCAAGTAACTGATAATTGATATAGCCGGGCGGTAAATCGGCAGCCACTGATAGCGCAAGCTCCTGCTCGTCGTTTTCGATAATTAATCGATCATTTTTGAGCAATGGCAACCAGGCATAACCGACGGGGCTTTCATTGTTCTGTAAAATTTGCATGTATTCATTCGACCACAGCCATACGCTGTTAACGTTTTCCAATTAAGGTAATTTTTCTGACAGAATTTTTGAAAAAAAAAACTGATAAAAATAAGTGATAAATACAGCAAATGTCTAGAATAAGCAATGCTGGGATAATTTGAAGTAAGTTATGCATTAATTCTGGGCTGTTTTTTTTTACAATCAAATAAAAAAAGTACGTAAACTTGTCTTGTTTGATGAAGAAATATATGATATTACATTAAAAAGCCAAGAAAACCTTATAGTAAAAAACTGAAATTTCAAAAATCTCAAAAATCCCAGAAATGTCCGTTTCCCTAAATTTCTTTCCCCCGTCAAAAATCCAATCCTCAAAAGATTTGGCTGTCAATTATCAAAACTTCTAGTATACGCAATATTGGGGTATACGCAAAAATTTCAAATTTTTCAATGCTGAGGTATATGCAAAAATTTCAAAATTTAAGAACGGGGAGTAGCAAAAAACGACAAAAACCGGATGAATGGGGAAAATTTATTAATTTTTCTATTAAACTTATTAATTTATTAATTTTTTATTAATTTTTTAATTTTTCTGTTATGTGAAATTTAAAAATTTCACATAATAGAAAAATTAAAAAATTAAAATTAACGAATGGTGGCCAACTGAAAACTGTTGATAAATACGCTAAAAAAAATCAAATGAAAAGAAAACAATAATGAAGGTGGGAGAAGAAAATACCTCATTTGGTGTCCGGCTTGATGCTGTACCAGCAACTGATACATGTGTAAATGAAAATAACAGATGATCATTGGCATCTAATGATACCGGAAGTTGAATTTTTATCTGAAAAACAAAATCAGTTCCAAACAACGCAGACCCCTCTGTTTGTGTTTCCAGCTAAGGGATAAAACAGTTGCCTTCTTCAAATGCTCATTCAAAAAAATGACTTGTATTTCTCATGTCTGTTTTCTAATTCCTCATTTGGGTGCTTCATGCGAATTAGTGTTAGTTACAAAAACAAAAAATTCATTTTACGTAAAAAAAATGAAACAAAATTGGCAAATAAAAAAATATTTTTGTATTGTAAAAACTATTAAAATTATAAAAAACGCTAAAAAAATAGAAGATACTTTTTTATCGTAAAAACTAAATAATAATTTACAAAATAAAGCAGTTTTTATTGGCCACAGAGGGTAGTCAGAAGGCCCAAGGTCGTTTGTTATTATTTCTCCACCAGCTAACAAAAACAGAAAAAGGCCGAGATCTTTCAAATGCGTGAAATATGAAAATATGCAGTGATATGCCCAGAAATACTATCATTGTCCATTTCATGATGATTTTTGCCGATGAATTTGGTAGTCCGATCCATGGCCTCTAATTCAGAAGCAGTTGTAAGTTTGTGAATTAATTCTTTACTGAATTCTTCCTCCTTCTTATGCGTTTTGTGCTGTGTAGCAGCGTTACAAAACGCATATTGTCACAGGGTTGTCTGTGTGTGTGTTTGTGTTTGTGCGTGTGTGTGTGTGTGTGTGTCCCACATTTTGTCCCGCATTTTCAACTCGGGAACCACAAAAGGGGTGACACGGCAAGTTTAAATTCAGCTTTCCCGTACCCGCGGGTAACACGTACGGCTCGGTGAAAGTTTTTTACGGGTAAATTAGTATCTCAGGAACCACGGAGTCTAGGAGGCTGAAATTTTGGGGTAATGACACCCTGCTCACGCCCAACCTTGCCCATTCAAGTTCAGCATTCCCGCGCTCTCGGGTGTCACCTACAGGCTAGTGAAAGTTTTTACGGGTAAATTATTATCTCGGGAATAACGGAAAGATATTCAACCTTCAAGGTTTCGAATTCAGCTTTCATGCGCTGGTGCGTGAAATTTTTAACTATTCTCCAATGTCTGAACTATTTTTGCACAGACTACAAAGCAGTGAAAATCATTAATAGGCAATCGCTCAATGGGGCTGAATTGCATAAAACGCACGATCACACCGACTAGTCTGGTGTGCGTTGCTATTTATTTTTTAAAAAACGCGCGACATTTATAAATATTCTATCTGGTACACAAATATATTATGTCGGATAAAATAATTTTGTGCAATGGTCAACTTATAAAAAGTTAGGCAATAGTAAACTCACACGAATCAGCTAGCACTTTTATTGATTTCATAATTAAAACTTTTATGGAAAAAAAATTTATAACCGAATTTACCAAGAATCGATGAATTGGTCAATGAACTAGCATTCATTTATTATCAAAAAATCAGAACTGAAAATTACAAAATGTGATAATTCAAGCGCATACCTCTTCGTTGAAAACAGGATTTTGTTCATGATGTTGCACCGAACAACGTACACTGTTCACAAATGGTACTGGCGATGCAAATCGATTGTAAATAGCCTAAAATAGGTGATGAAGAACTTTTAAAAAGCTAAAACAGGATGGATTTTGCTAAGAACACTACCAAAATTTTACAAGAATGAAGATACTGAAAGAATGCAGATACATCAAAACATGGCTAATCCGGCTCTTCTGATTTGCCATGGAAAATCCGAAAAAAATGCAACTCTTTTTATCATTTTTCGTTAAAATCAACTGTTTGTCATTAAAATTACCTGATTTTGTGCCTATTGAAAGCAGAAATTTTAAACAGTTACAACTTCTAAACAATAATTCTATTTGAAAGTGTCAATTTACATAAAAATCCTGACTGATAGTTCAAAGACTCCAGAGTTAGTGTTAAAAAACCCTAAATAAAAGTGCCAATTTTAAAAAACCCTCGATTTTTATGCGTTTTGTGCTGTGTAACAGCAGTACAAAACGCATATTGTTACGGGGTTGTCTG